TTCGTGAGCCTCTTATGGTTTCAGGATAGTTCAAATCCTATGATGTTCCGATTCAATGCTCACCGATGATCTGAGCCATGGGGCAAGTTTGTTTTCCTAAGAATCTTTTTGAACATTTCGAGAGCATATGTTTGAACATTTATAGAGTGCATATGAACATATATTTACGAAAGGTCGCCTCCGAGGGGATAAATCACCATGTCGAACATTGCATTTTTGTTCCTGCCTCTCGCGTTCTCTTCTCTTCCCGCTGTCCTACCTTTCGTGTCTCCCTCCTCTCAAGTTTTTTTTGGAGGTGCTGGGTGGTGCAGGTCTAGGTTGATAGATGGACACAGATGATAGGAGATGGTCTATAAACAGACTTGATATCGGGGTGTGGAAGAGGAGGTCATTTGGGGGGTGTCCACGTACCACCCCATTAGGTACTCAGAAGAGGTACCCTCCTGAAAACCAACGACCCGAGCCGAGCGGTACCCTCAAAAGACCTGTGATCCTCCAGCTGAGGCAGTGGTTGTCACAGTCAAGTTTCGTTTTCACTGGGGTACCAGCAGAGGTGGGTCAGAACCCTAGTTCGACTATCCTAGTTGGGTACTCCTGGTGACGGGTCCTATTTAATTACGATCACTTAACCTTTGTAGGTATATCAATCAAGTTGAGGTCTAAAGCCTAGACTCGACTCTGGGCCAACCTGCTGGCGCCTCAGGAGTCCAATGCAGCGCTTCCGGTCAGGGAGGGGGGGCGGGGTGGGCGCAGAGAGTGTCGTCACAGGCTGTGGTCAGCCTGTGAAGGCTTCGCCGGGGCGATGGCTGTCATTCACATGGATTGAGTATAGGGATTGTTGGCCGTTTTGTTTAGAACCCAGGGAGGGGACGAATTAAGAGATCTTTCAAGCCTCAATCGTGGCAGATTCTAGATTTTGTTATGTTTCTTTAGTCCCAGTGGAAGAGATTCAGGTGAGAACGCCCTCAGTTTTTTCTGCATGTGAGGCTTTCTGAAAATGGGTGACTGGGATGATTCCGCTGGTCGCCAGCAGCGTAAGTGTGCATTGTTGCTGGGAAGGTGTATGAGGCCACGCTTCATGGAGTTTTGTCAGTAGTTCGCTTAAGCTTGTGAGTCGCAGGCCACCTACCCCAAACACTCCATGGGACTGGCATATCTACCTACATTGGGATGGTTTCAGGGGTCAATGTAACAATGTATGGTACATATTCCATACGGGGAGTGTTTGGGTATTGTGGTAGATCGCAGTCCCAGCTGAGTCAATCAAAAAACAAAACCTCCTGAGTCTTCACTTCCTGCTACCCGCTCTGCGTCACCCAAATTGTGCTCCCTTGCCGGTCCAAGACCCAGTAAGATCAGGTTGAATTGACCTCCCCAAAACAGTCTGGACATGAGTCTGGACATGTTTTCCTCCGCAGGAGCGGGCCTATGCCGGTGTCTTAGATTCCGTTCGGAGGCGCTTCGACGAGGCGGCTGGGGGGGAAGGGGGGCCCGTGGCGGGGGTGGGGAGATGGTGATGCTGAGAGAGGTGGCCGTGGGTCTAAAGCTGGGAGCCATGGTTGACTCCTTAAACTGAACAGATCCCTTTATAAGGGATGGCATCTTCCCATGGTTTTTGGTGGTTTTGACTCACAGCTTGGTGGTGCGAGGTGGACGATAAGTAGGTGGACATAGTGGACATGCAGTCCATTTCGTAGAAGATTTCGCTCTAAAGGTGATGGATTCCTTGTGAAGGCAGCACTGAAGGGGTCTCTGCAAGAGGTTTACCTGTTGGACTTGGGAATTGAAGAGCTTCTTTCGGAGCAGCCAGTCAGTATGTCGTATGGCGGCCATTTGGGGCGTATCGCGTGGTCACTGATGTTACTGGGCAGCCATGGCCGCCAAAGCTGGAAGACACCAGGACGTCACAGAGACTTTTGTTAGAGAAGCCAGCTTTTTGAAGGGTCCATGTCCAAGGAGAATGGACTAGGGGGGATGGGGGGCCACAATCCCTCGTGTGTAGCGGGTTGGAAGATCCGTATTCACCCTTGGATCTTGCAGGTGTTCGGACCTGTCACCGGACTCTGAGGAGTTGGACCCACTTCTTTTCCTCACAAATGCAACACAACAAGCATCAACAAGCACTATGAAAACAGCGCACGCGTGGCTTCTTTTAGTCGGCTCTGCCCATTTGGGGTTCAAATCAAAAAGCAATAGTTGTTCCATGATCTTCCCCCAAAGCACTTCCGAGATTATTGCAATGCCACCATTCCACCATCCGATCACGTCGATCACCAACCTCGATGGACCAGGCAGAGGCTTTGCAGAAGTTGGAGACCTCAGGAACGTCAGGGGCGTTGCATGTGGAGACTTCCTCTGCGACGTCGGCCCTCTCGGCCCTCATGACGTGGCCGGCCGGTTGGACGTGGTTAAGTCAAGGTGAAATGGGATTCCAAACACCAGAGGTGGGTCAGGACCCGACGCCCTTCGCCTATCCCAGTTTGGTACCCCAGGTTTTCCGGGTCCTAGTTCAGGTCACTGAACCTCTCTTGGAAGGTCTCAAAATGGATCGATCCCTTGCATCCCTTGCAATCCATTCCTTCGACCTCAGGCGAAGAGGGATCCCCTCTGGCGAAGAGGGGCGTGGATCCGAGATGATCATTGTAAATACACAGGTCATCGCAGCTCGATCCCTTGTTCATGCCCTAGGGCTCCTGGCCCATCTCCTCAGGTTCGGTGGATTGAACCCCCCCCCTGGCACCCATCCCAACCATCTTCGAAGCGGAGTTAGGCCAGGAGCCCTAGGGATGAGTCCTTCATCAATCACTTCGAAGCCGCTGAAAGCCTCAGACTCCCCATCTTCTCGGCAGAGAAGATGCGTGCGACCGTGCATCAGCGGAGGTTGATTGGATCCTAAGGACTGGTTTAAGGCGGTCTCTTCAATATTTCCGCACCTCTCTTGGAGGGGTGTGTGTGTGTGTTGTATGATGTTGTATGTGTAGAAACCAGCACCCTCTCTGCCAGGTCTTTAGTTGAGGGTTGAAGGGTGAAAAGCACACACACAGCCAAGCAATCACCCTTGGAACTGGGGTGTTCTGTATACTGTATATACTGTATATTGTTGTGATTGTTGTATTTTTAGTCGCCTTCTTGGCAGGTTGCCATGTTTGGAACTTCCATGTTACCTTAAGAATGCTGGATCCCATGTCAGGGTGGCAACATGTGGCCGCGCCGCTTGATCCTCATGCCCTGGTTTGGCTCAAAGTGCTTCAGGGTGTTTAGCAACTATGATGCCCTTTCCAGGTGTTCGATATGCTTTTCATTTGCACCATTGGACCATGGGAGAAAGAACAAAAACAACACATTTTTGAACATGGCATGCCACCATTCATGCTTGAAAAACCTGTCAATCTCACCACTGCCAGAGCTCCATCTCACGTCGCTTCCACCGTTTTTTTCCAATTTCAACCCCTCCACAGCCCGCATGGCGCACGCGCACGAGTCGCTCGAGTCGCTTCCACCGGCTCGTCGCACTGCGGCGGTCTTGGCCTTACCTGGGAATACCTCCTGCTTTGATTGCGACATGACACCTGTCATGGACCACACCGGTGTGGGGAGATGTGAAGTGTTGGGGGGGGTGGGTGGTTTCTGTGTTTTAAGCACGGCGGCGCTAAAGTATGGGAGTGGATGAGTCTGGATGAGTATAGGTTTCTGCTCGCGGATGAGCTCCAAGACTGTTCAATACGTGAGTGTTGCTTGGGCATCGATCAAAAACTCCTGTACTCTATGTCGGCACTGCGCATTGCACACGCTCTCGCACACGTGCGGAACTGTATACTCCTGAAAAGACGCCTGATTTTTGACAATCTTTTCCCGATTTCTGGACGACCATTGATTTCATGAGGATGTTACACTACCAAAACCTCGAACTTTCTTCTAAAAGCTCTTGTAAAGGCCTAGGCAGCAGCTAGCTGGGAGACTCCGTGCTTTTTTGGGGGGGGTGCAACACCGAGACAAACCGAGACCTGCCCCCCTCCCCACTCAGCTTGGCGCTTCTTCCCCTTCCTCGTTTCACTTCCCCGTTGCCCGAGGAGTTGCAGCATGGACCCTTGGGTCTCCCTGAGTCATTCCTCGGTGATTTGCATCACCTGCGCCGGACAGCACCGCTCCTTCGGCGTGCACATGTGCCTCGGATGCGGGATGCGCTGGCAGCGGGATGCGGTCGGCGTGGCGGTCGGCGTGGCGGTTGGTGTGGGAGGCGGTCGGGATGTGGGAGGCGGTCGGAGTGGGAGGCGTCCAGGGCGGGGGTTGGCAGGAGGGAGGACGGAGGCTGTTTGGGACGGAGGGAGGGGAGAGGTGTGAGGAGAGGTGTGATGAGAGCAAGATAGATGGATGCAAAAGGATGAGCAAAAGATGCACAGGGTGCGGGTGCTTAAGAATATAGAGGCATGCCATGTGAACACATTCCAACATGTCCAACTTCCCCAAACAGCAAAACTACCATGAACTCCAAAGCTTCGGGGTGGAGAAGGCGTCTTTCGCCTCCAGCTTATCATAGGCTGCGATGGGGAGAGTCGCCCTCGCCTCGCCTAAGCCGCCCTGGGCAGATCCTACGTCCGATCCATGAAGCTGGACACCTTGAAGGACTCCGAATGGCGCTTGCTCCTCAAGGGCGGCAACGACGCCTTCCAGGTGATCGGACGGCGGTCTCGAGCGGGATGCGGTACTTCCGTGAGCCCGGAACGCGGACTCCGGAACGTCCAAGGAAGGCGGATGCATGAATATGATACGTATATGATATATGCTGTATATCACCAAGTGTGTACTTGTTTTCAGGATGTTTCAGGTGCTTTTTTGGAAGTGACCAAGTACGTACTTGTTGCCAAGATGGTATTGGTGCTTTTGGAAGTGATGTCCTAAACGAAAGTCTTTGTCAAAGACTCCTTCTAAGAATGGTCTGACTAGGTGACCCGAAGTTTGGAATTTCCTTTGCTTCGGTGGTGCTTAACATAGTTTTTGGACTCCCAGGGTTTCAATCGTGCTTAACTTTTAGCACCTCTTTTTTTTCTCACGCGCCACCCAAAGTATTTGCGACATCAGTGAGGCCCGTTTGCACGCGTGCGATCATCTCAGTAGATCCTCTTTGTGGTTTGATGTGCTGCCAATAGGAAATCACTTCTTCAGCTGACCTAAGACAGCGCATTTCACCTTAAAACATGCCAGGGTCCACCCACTGGCAGCCACTAGAAAACGGCCAGATTCCAACCGAAAGGCCAGTGATGGCGGTCCTATCTAGTCTACGTACCCTGGGCCTTCGAAGACTCACAGAAAGGTTGACATGGTCTTGTAGCCTGAAATCCTTAGCACAGCAATGGTTGTATTAAATCATTTTGAACCACTGATCAAGTTGCATGAATCTGGACGTTTTTTTTTTTTCACCCTCACCCACTAGATTCAACACAAAAAAACAGGCGTGAACCGACAAAAAGACAGAACGACGCATGAGGGGCCCTGACCCTCTTGACACGGTGACCCTAAACGGTGGCCCTGGTCCAGCTCCTTCCAGGCCTTCCTGGCGGACACGCAGAGCGTCTCCCGAAAGGTTTGGCTCTCCTTGCCCATGGAGACCCGTCACCGGGCCTGACCTCGACTGGGTGGTTTCAGAGATTCCAAGAGAGGTAGCCAGTGACCTTATAGGACCTTACTGGGGTACCGAACTGGGATAGGCTATAGGGTCGAGTCCTTTAACCTCTGTTGGTTGTAAAACTGGCCTAAGTGACTTGACATGATTGATCCCCACTGACTCTGACTAATATGTTTCAAGTCAGTTTTGAAATCAGTATTGAATGATTTAAGAACTTTTCCGTCTACCTTGACTTGAAACGATAGATTCCCACTAACCAGAGTTTTTGAAGTGATTTTTTTGGGGGGGACGCCTTTGTTACGCATTTGAGGCGCGCTTGGAATCGAGTCTCTGAGGGATGCGTCATGTGTACTGTGCGGCTGTTCCACTAGCTAGCTGGCTAGCTGATACAAGGAAGTCGCTTCCGGCGAGAGGATCCCTACAGGTCTCCGGTCTTTCTTTCTCGGAGCGAGCATGGGAGGAAGGCCGCCTAGCTCCAAGCCAAGGTTATCACACGCCAGCCGCAGATCTGTACAGGCGCAGACTCTGGAGACCGAGTCACGCTGGATTGGGGGTTCGGTGCGCAAGAGGGAAACGCTCCTGTCCCACTGGGCTTAGAAGGGTCTACTTTCCCTTCTTGGGGGTTGTTGCCCGCAGGTCCGTTTGAATGCACACTCATCGGTGCGTTCGCCAGTGAGCGACCTCATTGACCTCCTGACTGGAGCTGGTCATACAAAACACACGACTCAATGAGGGTTGAAGGACTGTAGGCTTAGGAGGTGGTTCACAGAAACCCTCTTTCGGGAGGAGCCATGATTCCAAGGGAAGGTGTTCTCAAAATGATCCACTAATCAACTAATCCTAAAGTGGCATTGTTATAATATATATATATAATACCCTAGAAGTCCAGTTCGACTATTTTTGGCACCACCCAAGTAAAGGAAAGTCCATATTTCGGGTCATCCAGTTCGACCATTTAAAAAATCCTCTTTGACTTATAGCTATTGTGGCAGTATAGTGCATTATAGTTATAAGTGCACGATGCTTGTTGGGTCATCTCATTCCTTGCCCCGGCCAATTCCCCTTTCCGCCTTGCACCAAAAGCACCACGCGTTACCTCAGGCGGCGGTTGCAAGCGATGACGGACGGGAACGATCTTCCAGAGGAGCTCCGTCCAGCCACCGTTTTGCGAAGAAAGTGACGCGTTTCTGACTGGTGCTTAGTAAAGAATGAGGGAATGGATCCTATGGTATCTATAGTGAGGGGTCATTCTCTCATTCCCTACTAAGTACCAGTCAGGTTTGTTTGGAGCTACCAGGATCAACCTGTTTGGGTGTCCTGGCTAGACTACCCTACCCTACTTATAGGCCTCCATTGGGCACTAGACTGCCGTACCACCCTATCCTGTCTGTCCTGGCTAGACTATCGTACCACCCTACATAAAGGCCCAGGCTTCCAGACAGGGCACCCAGACAGGAAGTCTATAGGTATTGTGAGTAAATCCCCGTGTGTTCCTAGTTCCTCAAGCAAAATCCAAGGTAAAGCCTCCGGCGCCGAAGATTGTGGAGAGCAAGAAGGAGTCTTAGCCTCGACCGGTACAGTGATTGCAAGTTCTGGGCACAATGGGCGTAGGGATGACAATCTAATGCTGCAAGCGTCGGGATCCTTTTGTCTTCGTGTGGCTGGCCAGCTCTATTCTTCTGAGCTGGCCCAAGCGAAGGAAGGGGTTTGGAGCGAGGGGTTGAGATTTGAGATGCGCTTCCCACTTGGTTGGTGCGTGCAAGGTGTCACAGTATTGGCCACAATGCACATGCTGGATTGCAATCATGGCCCACACCCTCACATTCACCCCAAAAACCGACAGGGTCGCCCACACAGCGGTAAGGTGTTCCTACAGCAGCGAGGTGACTGTTGCGCATTCACTGGACCTGCCCGGCAAAGAACGTTCCAAGAAGATCTAGAAGTCATCAAGCCTTGGAGACTTCGGAGGCCTTTTTTTTGTTCAATAAGATCCGGCTTCCCTGGAAAATATTGATAGTCCAAGCTTACCTGGTGGATTTCTGGCCAGACATCCTTCTGCGGCCCTCGCCTCGAGGAGCCCAAGTGGACGGACAGCGATCGGTGTCAGCTGTGTAAGGCCAACTTCTGGTTGCTCATGAGGCGGGGGGACGCCCAAAGTGCGGTGGAAGGGTATGGGTTTTCTGGTGATGGGGCAAAGGCAAGTGGAATGAACCCTAGGGCTCCAACCACCTCGGTCGGGGTGGGCGCCAAGGGGTCTAACCACCTCCTGACGATATGGTTGAAGCCCTAGGGGAAGTAGAATGAAGCAGGGGAAGAGTGGTTTGGCTTTCACACCAAGAAGGAGAGAATTCATGAGATCTTATGAGACGTATTGGTTCATCGACTCCGGGGAAGGGGGAGGTTTTCTTTTTGGATCCCGGCGTCGAAGACCTTTACGTGCAAGTATGTGTTGGACATTGGCCCCCTTCTGGTCAACAAAGGAATCAACTAACGGTCAGAACACTATAAATCCCATAGGTGTGCCAGGTGACGGGTCCTATTTACGGTCACTTATATAACATCTCTTGGAATGGATCAACGCAGGAGATGTTAAGAGTGGGCCCCTTCTTTGCAAAAGACTCCGGCTCCAGTGCTGTGCCAAAGACCTCAAACAAAATCAATCAAAGACCTTTTTGGATCATGGCAATGGCTTGTCCCACACGCCACTCAGTTTCAATCCACAAATGCACAGCCTGAGCCAGTCTTCCAAACAGGAATGTCCAGTTTAGGGTCACCTAAACTATAACACCATCCTTCCTTCCTTCCATCCTTCCTTTCTTTCTTCCATCCTTCCTTCCATCCATCCTTCCTTCCTTCCATCCTTCCATCCATCCTTCCATCCATCCATCCATCCATCTATCCCTCAAATCCCTAACCAGACGTTGTGCTGCTGCACGCCGGCATCCGACCACACACGCCCGAACCTGGAAGTGGTCCAAGCACTTCGTCGGTCGACTCAACGGTTGGTCCGCAGGAAGCACCACTGCCGGAAGTGCGGCCGCTGCATCTGCGCCGCCTGCTCGCCCATGGAGGGCTGCCTGGTTTGTTGGATTCAGGTGATGAAGAATTCTCCGTCCGGATCCTGTGATGTCCCCCAGGGATGCCTGTGGGTAGATCCCCCGTTTTGGGGGGGGCATGCCTTGTTGGTCATGCCTTGTCCTGGCTCCTGGACTGATCCAAGGCTGGCGACCGCTGCCCGCGATGGGGCATCCCGAAGCCTGCCGCCATTGCAAGGCGTCGCCTTCCGCCGGGGTCACGGGCGACCCATGTGACATGCTCATAAAGCCTTGGGTCTGCCCGACCTGACCTGTAAGAGGATCATTAAACAACTATCACTATTTTTGGACAAGGCTTCTACTAACCATCACATCCACTGGGCCCAGGTATCAGGATCAACCCCACGACTAGAGCCCTTGTTGGATTTGTTGCACATCATTCTTGAGCCAGATCCGTAGGGCTGTTTGTGGTGGCTTCTGGAGGGAGCCTGGAAGGGCTGATAGGGAGTAGGAAGAAGGGGCTAGAAGGGGGTAGGGAGAACGTGGGGCCAAAATGGAGTACAGGAAGGTGAGTTTGAAGCTGTTAGACATTAACATGGCTTCTTACTCAGGAACTGGGTGGATCACCTGCCGACATCCGCAAAAAGCCGCCGAGCTTGGGGAGGTTTGGGAACACATGGGAACACTCCCCACGAAACCAGCACAGATGGAAAGTGCGAGTGAAAACCCCCGCAACCTTGGGGCCTTCAGATGGAACGCGGTTATCCGAACCTGAGAGGGCACCAAGTTATGCCATCCATGATCCCTCATGAAGACTTACTCCAGGGAGTGTAACCATTTCTTCAAAGGTCAGGCGTAAACCACTGAACCTCCAAGAAGTCGATTGACTCAACCGTTGCACCGCTTCCATCGTCCAGGGGACGCTTAGACGGGAGCAGGGAAAACCTAGTATATAATGTGATGTAATTTGCGTGTTTCCGGTGGAAAGTGCACCCTGCAGCTGGACCAGCAGGGAGCATCTCTATAGCATATTTATAATCTTCTTTAGGTTACTTCATGGCGACTTCTTCCATCAGACGTTTGTTTTCATGCTTCATGTGAATGGCTTCCATATCTTCCAGTCCTCAAACCTTCACGGCAGGTGTGCGTTCCTCCCGTTGCACGTGCCATCGTGGGGCTCGGCTGAGTGAGTGCAGCGCAGCTTGCGAAAGCGCAAGCGCCAGCGCCAGCGCCAGAGTATAGGGGTGCAATCTTTTTGCAGTTGGGTCTGGTCCATGTGCCCTCCTTGGCTGTTGGGTATGTTCCTACCTGACAAGCTGATACTACCTGGCAAGACAATGGGAAAATGAGGTGAACCGTGAACCCGTGTTATTCCGGGAAACCTGACGAGGCAAGTCTTGATGAGGCTTGGAGGTGTGTGATCTTTTGGTGTTTCATATACTTGTGCTTTTGGACTCCGAGCAAAGGTCCTGCCTGTTCGTCTTAGTTCAGTATCAACATAGGCCCTAGAAGTCCAGTTCGACTATTTTAGGCACCACCCAAGTACAGGAAGTTCCGGAACTCGGATCATCTAAAGACCATTTTAAAAATGGTCTTGGACTCCCAGGGTATATACACTCTGACTCACGTCCTGAGTCCTGCAAGACTAATTTCCACCAGAAACCAGGGGGGTTCCGCTGCCTGTATCAACAGCCTATGAGCTTGTTACATGGCAACTCATCTCCAGAGTGGGTGAGTATCATGGGTCGCACTGCATCGTTTTGATGCAACACCTGTCACGTTGCAGTCAGATGTTCACTTGGCCCGCCGGGGTTGGATCGTGCCTCATCACCTATGTTTGAGCCATAGCTGCTTGGAGTGCGCATCACAGCGTCCTAAAGCCGGCCCTTTGAACTTCTGAACAGCCGAGAGTGCGGACCTGGGCCATGCCATGAATCATGCCACGTCCTAACCTGCTGGGGTTGCTAGAATCCCAGATGTCCGCTCGCATGGGGCACTGATCCTGCACCGTGCGCAATCCTTTTACGTGCAATCGATGCAAGAGGCTGGCGTCTCAAGTGATCACTTGGTGTTGGATGAGCAAAAAGAGTTAAACAAGAAAAATCTTACAGTACCCTCCAGGTCGTTCGGCGTGGATTCAGAAGGACACTGAAGGGCTCAATTTGTGACCCGTTGGAGGGTCCTGGTTGTTGCTGCCTATATTAGAACACGCCGTTGGCTGTAAGACCTTGGAGCGTGAATTCTTTTGCAGCTTGCGAGGCACCGAGCAAGCCATGACCCGAGAAAATCCAAGGAACCAACTTGGACACAGGCAAGTTGTTTCAGTTTGGGGAGGGTTCAACCATTCAAGTTCAGTAACTTCAGTAGTGCTTAATTGCACTAAAATGATTTTTGACATCAAATCTTGCAGAATGTTGGTTTGTTCTTTTTGCCCAAGGGCCCAGCTGTTCTCATGATCAATCACGATCAAGTTGCTGCTCTTCGTCGATTGCTTGGCTTCTGCTGCTCTTCGCCCAAAGCGAGGGCTTTGAGCCCATGGGCTGTCGAAGCCCAGAATGGAGAGACTTCCAGAACTTGCGGAAGAGGTCAGAGGTGCAGAAGATGGCAGAAATCCTTCCACTAGGCCACCGAAAGGAGACAACACCAAGGTTGGCCGTCATCCGAATTGAATTGCCCCAATACACGCGTGTAAAGCACTTCTTGCTGAATTAGGAAGCATCGACCTTGCTGCTCTGGTGATTCCGATGTGTCGACTAGGGAATGGACAGAGGAAAGTCTGACACCCTTCCGCGATCTCCACTTGACTATAAAGGAGATCTGTTTGCGCCAGGTTTCACCCAGAAAACTGCGCAGTTCTCCGGGTCGGATGGCGGTGGCGGTGGTGACCTGGTTTCCGCTTGGGTGCACGCCCCACGAGGTTTTGGGGTTTTCAGACGTGGAGGTTCACCACTACAGGGCGCTATAATACGGCGCTCGGCCCCGGCGGCGCGTATTGGTACTGGAAACCATTGGAAACCAATACCTCACACATTGAAATGTAGGGGGCCCTGCAGAGGTTAAGTGACCTTATAGGACCCTACAGGAGTACGTATAGGATAGTCTATAGGGTTATATAGGGTTCTCCAACCTCTGCTGAGCTGTCCACTTCCATGTTTGTCGGAGCTCATTTGCCTTCCACGAACTCCAAACTCATCGTTTGAGCCTGTCAAGAACGAACCTGAGACGCTCCATGCTGCAGACTAACAGAGGTTAAACTCTATCTAACCTTAGGCGCTTGCAGTACTGTCTTTTGGAACGCACTTCTTCAGTGATGTTGTGGTCTCCATTGAACTGCAAGGCTGCTCAGCAAAAAGACCCCATTTGGACCCGTTCCCGGATTTTGCACCTACCTGCCACTCCGCGTGTCCAAGCCCTTTCTTGACCCAGGTTACACAGCTCTGGACTTGGCCCCAAAACCGGCTGTTCATGATGCAGGCCATCGTTTGGTGACGGCATGGCTGATAGACAGTTTCTCATGTTTCTCTGAAGCTTTTGGCTCGACTTTGGCTGCATTTGTGGCCCTTCTTCAGGCGAATCAGACATGAAGGCCATGGCCAAGAAGGCCATGGCCAAGAAGCCCACGGTCAAGAAGACTACGAAGACGCTTGGAAAAGCATTTTTTTTGAACAATCATGCGGCATGCGGCATATGACTCGGATTTGATTCACTACCTACCGACCCAAGAAACAGCTGGATCACCCGCGCACCCCTTGGCGGGGGGAGTCATGAAAGCCCCGCTCACCAGAAACAGCTGGTTTTGTTCGCTTCACCGACCTCTTCCAGGGATTCCCACGAAGGAGTCGGACGTAGTCAAACGATGTCAAACGAATCTTTGGAGGAGAAACACCCGGGAACAATGATGGGATGATCCCACAGGCCCGGATCTTTGTTGACCATCCTGATCTTTCTGGACCTCCCACAAGATCGGGTCCCAAAAGGGTCGGATCGATCAAAGACAGCGATGGTGGACGGGTCTAGACCAGGAGAACGCCTGGAGTATGTGACCGTATATGTGCTAAAATGCATCAAGCTACTAAAGCCCTACAAGAATCCTTTGATCTACTGTGGTGCGAGGGATCTAGCATCACTCATGGGTGTCAGAAGAGAAGAAGTGTTTGGTGTGTCTACCAGGTGCTTGATCGTATTGCTTTCTTTGCAGTCAACGAATGTCAGTATTTAACACCCTTTCCCACTGAACAGTTGGCAATCCATGTTTCGTCAGTATGGCTCAGTTTGGTGGTCGGATCATGTTTGGAATTGTTTGGATATCGAGATCCCCTTTGTTTGGCTGCCCTCCTCCTCCTCCTCCTTCTGCTCCTCCTCCTCCTCCGCGCTCACCTGCAAGCCGCAATCGCTGGAAAACCGTCGTCAATGTACCACTTGGAACGACCCTGGAACCGCTTCCGGGCTCCAACTCCTACACCGCGATAGACCGAAGAGCTCGAGCTCATCCCCTCTGCAGCACCGTCGACTCCATTCAATGGGTTTGCTCGCACTTCGCACCGTTGACTCCGGCTCCGAGGAAGAACACCAAAGCCAAGGAAACGAAGGGGGAGCTGCCCTGCTCCCCTCGAGCGACCATGGCCCCGACTGGCAAAAGGGCCCTGTGCAGCGGCGTGAACAACCGGATGACCAGGTGCAAGGGCAGCTCAGAAAGCAGTCGGAAGCAGCTCTGAAAGCGTACGAAAGTCCGTAAAGGGGGGGGGCGGGGGAGGCTTTTTCTTGCGACATATGGCGACGATTTCTGACTCATTGACGCGGAGTAGTACCCATGGCCACCAAACTAGTGTTCAAGAAGCTGGGATTGAGCATATTGAGCTCAGAGCTCCGTCCTCCGTGTGAAGGGTTTAGCCCGAGTACCGCCCTCGGGGGAAGAAATACGACCCAGGTAAGCAGGTGAAAGATGTGCTTTGGAAGATGAAGTACAAGAGCCCCAAGAGCCAGCAGCATCTCACCTACAACCTGCAGGATTTGCGCTATGATCTGCTCCGTGGGTATCTTAAGGCCCGCAAAATGGGCAGCTCAAAAAGGATTTGCTCCTTTTCCCGTTTTGTAGCTCCTGGCCTCCCCCGAGCCGGCCTCCATGGTCTTTTCGACACGTCTACACGGTCCTTGCCGCACTTGCCTCAAATACAGTACGCTCCCTGGAACTGGTTACCTGGATGGCATGACCCCGAGTTCCGAAGATATCCGAAGACCATGACATCCTCTACAAACAGTGGGTTTTCCACTTCCATGTTAGTTCCAGGGAGTGTGCACCCGGCAGGTCAAAGTGCTCAGGGCGGGTACCTCCGCCGCTTCTTCGAGCAAGGGCGAGCTGCCTTGCTCGCCCAATGCCACCATGCTGCCCACGGGGAAGGTGGCCCTTTGTCCCGGTGTCAACAACCGGATGAAAGGATGCAAGGGCAAGAAAGTGGTAGATGTGGTTGGGAAGATGGGCTACAAGAGTCCTGGCTGCCAGCTGCTTGTTGTTCTTGTTGAGTGTTCGTTTTTTAATGTGCGCGTTGCTTGGAAGAAGGAAAGATGTGAAGCCGTGGAGATGTAGTTGGCATGCATTCAGGAAAGAAATCAGCCTAATTAGTCGATAGGCGCTTAAACATATGGATCCTTAATGGCCCTTAACAAATTGAAAGAATAACCAACTTCAACAATGCTTAGCTGGCTAGCGGTTTGGAAGGGGGCCATGGAAGAAGGGCATTTTTAAGGAGGAGATCCATCTTTTCCACTGTATTCCGGAACTAAAACAAAGAAGGCGATGTAGATCTATTGCGGCTCGATGTGGAATAAGATCACACCTCCCCCGTCCGCGGTTCCGCGGCCGCTCCAGCACCGCTCCGACTCAGACTCAGGAGTCCCAAAGGCCAGCTCGTCTACAATGTGTCTGGGCGAGTTACCTGGGTCGGTGGAGATTTGGATCCTTAACAAAGCAACAGAGGTTGAAAGACCCTATAGCCTGTCCCATAGGTACCCCAGTAGGGTCCTATTTACGGTCACTGAACCTCTCTTGGAAGCTGACTTCTTTTTTTTCCCGCGAGGAAGAGGAACTTTAACAGAACATGCACACCTTGAGTTCGTCTAGTTCGTGTCCATTCTTGCAGCTTCCTGTGGTCGAAGTCCCTTCATGGACCTGTCCGGATTGAAAAACGTCGTGTCAGACACTTTTTGCGGCGCCCAGAGGTCCGCGATCTGAAGTATGATCTACTGCGTGGATATGTGAAGGCGGGCACCTGGGACAGGTTCGGCCGATGCCTCCCTCGATCTGCCGCAGCGGCTCGTGGAAGTTCTCACGAGTTGAGTTGTTTCGGTCATGAAGGGATGGCTAAGGCTAAGGCATGGTCAACCACCAGCTTCTTCAGGTTCGGTAACTTAGAAGAACCTGGCAGGCAGTGGGTTTTTGAGATGCTTGGAGGTACAGATAGTTCATGACCCAGACACTCCATGTATGCCACATATGCCATACATTGACCCCCCAAACCACCCCCAATGTAGGCATATGTGGCATACATGGAGCGTTTGGGTGATAGTTCACTCTTGGTGGGTCCTTTAGGGGCTCCAGGTCGTACTTTTCCCAGAAGGTGGCGACCCTCTAGACGGTCTAGACCTCTCCCACGTGCCATTCTAGGGAGGGAGATCATTGGAGACGAAAGGTGTGAACAGAACGCGACTCGTTTCACATGGCGATGGATCAAAACTGAAGCCCTTGGGGGATCCGATCATATTCATACAACCTCTCTCCTCCTAATTGGTTTTCCCACTGAGGTGTTCAGAAAACGGTCTGGGTGCTTGATTTTCAATGGGAAACTGAGGGGGTCGGTGTTCTGGAAACACCCGGATTCCAAGCAGTCCATGCCTTCATCCTGGTCACCGGGTCAGGTGAAGCTCCTCCGGGCCCCGCCAGCCTCCAAGGCGACGACGGCGTCTCGGCCGCGAAGCGCAACCATTGGGGAGATAGGATGCTCAAGACTGGGGTGGGATGCTCAAGACCTTCAGTGACAGCTGTTGTTTCATGTCAATCTCACTTCATGATCATGTCAGTGTTCCCCACACTGCTCGCGGGCGTAACTCATGCCTTTGTACTCATGTACTTGTGTGTTTGGGTGTGGGACACTGCCTCGGAAGAACGCCAAGTCTATACAACCTGCAATGCCAGGTCAATCAGCACTTCAGTTGACGGCTCATAAACATGTCACGAAAGGTAGCCTGGTAAGGACTACCTTGAGTTTGCTTTGCGAAGCAAAGGGACTGGCTTGAGAGCTTGCTCGGGACTAAAGATTGGTAGATCAATGTCTAACACCCCCCCCCCCCCCCCTCCCATGTGATGAATGATTGATAAATCAATTGATTCGACCCCCCTCCCCTCCCCGTCCCCTCCCCTCGTCGCCAGCACTACTAAATTCTGGACATAAGGTGAAGTCATGCGCTTAACAGTCACAGCAGTACGACGCTGGCCATGAGGTTGCGCAATACAGCACCAACCCTGCGCAATGAGGTCGCGCAATGCAGCTTCGATGCCGCGCGTGCGCACCCGGCAGCCTGACACAGCACGTACTGCGTTCACAGACCATATTGCTCGACACCAACGAGCATCGATGCAACACAGCCTCTCTGCTAAGCCCTGTGGAGAAACCCCTCGCGTCGCGGAACACCATTCGACTCAGCCTTATACCCTAGCGTGGCGACATCTTACCGCATCGTGGAGCACACCCACCATAGCGTGACGTCCATCCCTGGCAGTACCGGCCGCACCCCTCCAGCACTATCCTTGCAAGGGGGTTGGTCACTGAGTCACTGCGGCTTCGACGCAACGCGTGCAGGCCTGTAATCCTGACACAGTGCGTGCAGCTGTGGGACCATAGCTGGTACACATGCGAGCGTTTACGCATTGCGACTTTTATGCGCGCCTGTTTTCACACACCTAGACACAAACGAGCGTCGACGCAACGCAGCCTCTCTGCAGAGCCGTGTGGCGCAATCTGACCGCAACGGTGTTCCTCTTGAGCCTTCTTATGCCTTCTTGTGCTCTCTGGCTTTGTTGGTTTCATCCATGATTGACCAAGGGGCACGTTCCTGAAACACCGGAGACAGTCCCTCACCAGAAAAGGTCCCGACAGCTACTCGGTCCGTCTCTACCTTTCGTGTTTCCCCGCTCAAGTTCATAGGACCGACAGAAAAATCGCAACGTCAGCGTTGCCTTAATCAAGGACCCCAACTCCAAAACAATGAACGAAGTGAACAAGCTAACACCAAATACTATGACTATGGCCTGTCATTTTGCACCAGTGCTGACTACAAGGTTGTCCAATGTTCCTCCTGGGTCAAAAACATCCTCGTCAGGTGGCACGGGGAAGGAAGAGCCAGCCAGCCATGAAGGTCATGAAGACCACAAAG